GTTGTTCTGCATCCAAAACAACAATTCTTTTCACATTCTGAGTTTTGACTTCCTTGAGATATCTTCTCACAAGATCTCTTATTGCTTATCATATAATACAGCAAGAACGTTCTCAAAAGATTATACAATGACTACTATTTCTGTCGACAAGAGAATCTTTGGAGGCAAAATGCATTGAAGACCCTGCCGGTGCTTCTGAATTCATCAGACATGCTGGCCTGTGGGGAAGATTTGGGCCTCATTCCATCTTGTGTCCATCCTGTATGCCCATTATGCCTTCCTTTAGCTCTCCTAGTCCAGAAAGTCTATGTCTATTTCACTTGCAGACACATGCAAACCACACACAATTCTGACTTATCCTGAAGATATTAAAAGAATTAGATTTTTATCTATTTATTTTGAGTACTTTGAAGGGATTTGACTATAAATTTGTTCATGTAGGTTATGCAAGAGCTGGGGTTAGTTGGGTTGCGCATTCAGCGAATGCCTAATGAACCTGATCTGGAATTTGGTATTCCTTCTCAGTACAGCTACATGACGGTAAGGGTTTTTTGTGCTATTGCTTGTCCTTGTCCTTATTTTATTTAGGCGCCTTTGGTTGAACTAATGAAAACATATTGACTTTTCTATTTTTTATGGTGGTTTCATAGTTCATTTAAAAAAAAGGGTAAAATATGTTTTTAGTTTCTCAAAATATTTAAGAATGTTGATTTTAGTTCCTATAAAAATTGAATATGTTTTTAGTCCTAACATTTATCAAAAGTGATAATGTATGTTTTTGAATAAATGCATGGACTTAAAAATGTATCAAATTTTATGAGGACTAAGATTAACATTTGAAAATATTTTAAGGGATAAAACATATTTTATATTAAAAACAAAATCCACAGGTTGGCAGGAGCAGGATGACGAGTCCTCTATAAAGAAATCTTGCTTTGTTTAAAGTGTTAACCTGTCAGAATATATGAAGAATATCTAATAATATTTAGATTGTATCTTTAGAATAATTTAGAATATCTTAGATTATTTCTTAGGATTAGTTTCTTTAAATAGGGCCACTTTATGTTTTGCATCATATTGTATCACAACTAACGCATCATCATGTTGCATCAAATCAATATCAATTTCAGAATATTCACTCTCTGTTCTTTCCTTTCTTTTCCCTTAATACCTAAAATCTTCAATCACTTTAATCTGATTGTGTTATATCCTTGCCACATTTAAATATTTTGTGATTTTATTTTGTAATGAACGAAAATTTTCTGGTTTTGGGTGGTGCCTATAGTTATGTGATTCAGAGGACATGTAATTAGATATTTACGGTTGTCCTGTTATAATATGCTAAATCTAAGTTCAGTTCTATTGAAGTCTAGTGTTAAGTTTTCCAATTTGGAGGGCTTTTGTAAGATTGCCATTTGATTGGGTGACTTGCGACAATGTGCAGGTATGTGCCCCATCATGCCATGACTGTTCCACCTTGCGTGCTTGGTGGGAAGAAGATGAAGACAGAAGACTTCGGTTTTTCAAGAATGTGATGGAGTCCGATGAGTTGCCGCCTGATCAATGTGTTCCAGAAGTTGTACATTTTGTAATAAGGCAGCATTTTGAAGCCCCATCAATGTGGGCAATTTTCCCTCTTCAGGTATTGTTATTATAACATAAAAATAAATTTAGAGTCTGATTGGATAAACTTATTTATAAACACTTTTAGGAGAGAAATATAATCAATTTCTTCAAAAGTTAAAATTAGCTTAATTATAAGCAAATTTCTTGATCTACTTTGTAAAAGTTCTTTTCTATTAATTTTTTATAATCTTATTTTTAATTTATACATAAATTAGATTTACATTCCATTTTAGTTTCTCAAGACAGCCCTTTGAGATAGCACTAGTTGATTTATGGCTGTCTGAACCAATTTCATGTTAGTTGTTTCTCTGCACATGAAACTCATGCTTGGAATCTGTTGGACTGCAAATACAGGACTTGTTAGCATTAAAAGAAGAATATACAACACGCCCTGCAACAGAGGAGACAATCAATGACCCTACGAATCCGAAGCACTATTGGAGATATCGTAAGTCTTAAAGCTTTGGCGCTAGATAGTCTGTGACTACTGAACTTTCTTATGGAACATTATGATCTAAGTGTGTTTTGACTGTTGTAAGGTGTGCATGTGACTTTGGAATCATTGATCAAGGATAATGAGCTCCAAACCATCATCAAAGATCTTGTGCGTTGGAGTGGAAGATCACTCCCTAAGGAAGACTCAGAAATAGAAGCAAGCCGAGTGTCAGCATTGTCAGTCACAGAAGCTGTTTCTGGTAAACAGAAGTCTGCCAGTACCACGGAAAAGCCTGTTCTTAAAAAATAAAAATTGGAGCTGATGTTATCCATACTAGCCTTTCAGTTCATATTATCCCATAACCTGCTAAAATGTAGAAAACAATAAAAATCATCTGTGCTATGTTTTCTGTCTGTTTCCACTATGTTATTTAATAAAGATTGCAAATAAATCTTGAAGCATGTATTGTTTACGTCCAGGTATATGTGCCTAAAAGTTGTCGCTATTAATATAATAGTAATTGAAGAGGTACTCGTAGTGCAGGTGTACATAAAAAAAAATGTCTCTTGCCATATTCTGCTCGATATTTACTGGCCCTTTACAGTTATGTAATGGAATAGAGAAACATTTACTTAGATTAAATTAGCAAACGTTAGTTTGAAGCCCGATTTAAAGATTTGAACGATATGATTATCTAATTCAGTACAAAGTGAATATATATTGATAGAAAGCAAAATACTATTCGATCACTACTCCTGTTTTTCTATAGAGTTAAAGAAAGCTAAAGAAAAGATCCGCATAAACTAAAATATTTCTTTATTCATTGATAATAAACTTTAAAAAGGATACAGTTATATAATCTTAATAGGTGTCAATCAATGGATAATATTTATTTATGTGTCAACATTCTATTATTTTATGAAAATAAAAAAATATTTAACTTTGTCTAATATAATCTTTCAATCAATTTATTTTTAGGATATTTTTTGGATTTCTCTAAGTCAATTCTAATGTATATTGTTGGCTAGTTTACTAACTAATGTTAGTGTTTCATCCTCTATTGAATAAAATTATTATCACCGAAGTTCACATGCCTACAGGCTAAGTGTAATCAAAAGTTAAATTTTGAGAGAAATTTTAGTGGATACAAATGAAGAGTAACTCTTACCCTATGAACTAATTTTTATTAGCGTTAGTATTTTTTTTTCCCCCTGATTTTGAATTAAAAAATTGAATTAAAGATTACATAAAAGATAACGTCAATTAAAATAGTTTTTCTTATATAATAAAGGAAAGCTATTTATATTTTTGGAAAAGCAAATTTGAGTATCAAGAGGGTTTTATTTTATTTTTAGTTTTTTTATATAGATATTAAATAAAATGAATAATCCTCCTACAGATACTTTGTTATATTGTAATTTTCCATTATCTGAAATTAAACAATTCCATTTTGGCAAAACAAATATTCATGTTAGACCAAATTATCTGATTCTGAGGCGGTTTCAGCGCAAGAAATGAAAGAGCAAAAGTCCACCGATAACCCTTTAACTGCCACAAACCAATTAAAGAAAAATGCCAGCTTGCAATGCAACAGGACGAAGAACTTTATCACAGCGTATTTTTTGGCCACGCCACGTGTCACACACGGATAGAGCCACGAATCAAATAGCGGTTACAGTTTAAGGTTGTTGGTTAGTTAATACTAAATTAACATGTTTCATATATAAATACTTTAGCATTTGTGTCCCAAAAATATGCCAAGTGTCGATGTGGGAGCGCAGAGGCAAAAATAGTAACGTTGGAGAAGGAAAACAGAGAAGATCGTTTAAAAGAGGAAAATATAGAAAGGATGAAGGGGGTTTGTGCTTAGAGGCGAGGGATATTAACGTTGGGAGTGGGAGTGGAGTTTTATTTCGATATTACTCCGGCGACGGTTTGATTCTCTCGCGCTCCCGTTGCTTCTCGTTTCCCTGAATACCTTCACAGTGTTCAGGGTAACCCTTTTTCTTTCTTCAATTGTTTCTTACCATTTCAAAATATGTCGCATCATTCTTACAATATTATATTTGTTATCTTACCTTGCCTCACACTTTGTTGTATAAAACAAACTAATTATACAAATGTAGTTTCTCTTCGAAAATTGGTGCATTGGCATGCACGTATTTGCATGCAAATCATTAAGGATGATTGTGAGATGCGATTGTTGACGGTTTGTGTTTATATACAAAATGTTAATGATATATGGTTTGAAAAACTGTGATGCTGAGGAGGGAGGGATGAATTTGGGGTCTCTGTTTCATTTATATGACATGAAATATGCAGATGTCAGTTGATCATTTTCATTTGAACCTTCTTGTTTACATCTTGTGCCTGGGAATTTTGCAGGTTATAAGGGATTCAAGAAAAAAATGTGCAGATCAGTTAGCCTGCTCTTCTGTTAATATGGTATCCAGAGTTTAAGCGATGAGTCCAGCATTTGAAAATTTTCCCCATTGAAGCCAATAAACAGTAAGAGATTTGGCTGCACTTTTAATTTCTTAATATATTAGTCGGCTCCATTTGTTGTTGCATGATAAAAAAGGACAGATTTTCTGGTATGTTTTTAAGGACATAATTGTTCGAGAATTGAAGCATAGATTCTATTATGAATGTCAGATCAGATAGAAACAACCAACATAAAGAATGTCTTAACCGATAGAAGTAATGAATTCATTATTAGATGATATCTGATAATATAAAAAACTTATTAATGCATTCTAATTAAATTTCTCATTTGGTACATGAAAATGAATTTTGAAAGAAATATATCTTGCTTTGTTGGCATATTTATACATGTGATGAACGAACGTGCAGATGCCATCGCCTTCAGAAAACTACTTTCAGAGGATTTGATGAGAAGAAGTGGCCCTTGGAATGCACTGCTGCCATAAATCTTCTCATCATCTGAATGAGATTGTTCAAGATGGCTGTGACCATTGACCGACATAATGGATTCAAGCCATTTAGCCGATCCCAGAGATGCAAACTGCAATCCTATGGTCACCTTGATCCCAACACTCTTGAACTTAGCCAAACTGGTACATTCTCACACTCCTTTGAACTAGCGTTCCAAGCCGATAATATTCACCGCAGTTTCTCCACTCCATGCCTCCCCCTAAGCACCCTTTTAGGGGAAGAACTCACTTCTCACCACCCAAGGGTTGAGATTGTTCGTGGAAGTGGAGCTCCAGTACATGCTCTAGTTGTGGAGGTTGCCATAGCTATGGCCTCAGGTGTTCAACCTACACCCCTCCCTAGTGGCCTAGGTGGTGCCTATGTTTTCCGGAACCCAAATGGTAACAACATTGCTGTAGCAAAGCCAATAGATGAAGAACCTTTGGCCTTGAACAACCCAAAAGGCTTAGGGGGTCAAATGCTGGGCCAACCTGGCTTAAAGAAATCTATTAGGATTGGTGAAACTGGTATAAGAGAATCAGCTGCTTATCTTCTTGATCATGGAGGCCTTGCTGGTGTGCCTCCAACTGCTTTAGTCAAATTCTCTCATGCTGCATTCTTTGTTACCAACAACAGTGATGCAGCCACAGTTCCTTCTCACAAGCCTAAAATTGCCTCACTCCAACGCTTTGTTGGGCATGGTTTTGATGCAGGAGAGTTAGGCCCTTCTTTCTTCTCAGTTTCTTCAGTCCACCAAATTGGGATCCTAGACATTAGGATTCTGAATCTTGATAGACATGCAGGGAATATGCTTGTGGTGAATCATGACCATAAGAATAGTTTTGTTGATGGAGTCACTGACCTTGTTCCCATTGACCATGGTTTTTGCCTACCTGAGTGGCTGGATGATCCATATTTTGAGTGGCTGCATTGGCCACAAGCCTCCATTCCTTTCTCTGACTCCGAACTCGAGTACATTTCCAAACTTGATCCCTTTAAAGATGCAGAGATTTTGAGAACTAAGCTTCCTTTATTGAGGGAGTGCTCTATTCGTGTTCTTTTTGTTTGCACCATTTTGTTGAAACAAGCTGCTGCTGCTGGCCTTTGTCTTGCTGAAATAGGCCAAATGATGACTAGGAAGTTTCGTGGTGGTGAAGAGTTACCAAGTGAAATGGAAAAAGTTTGCTTGAAAGTCAAGGCTAGCATCATCTTCCCTCGTGAGAATTGCAAAGAAACCGAACAAGGGTCTAAATGTGAAGTTGGTGGCATTTCCTTGGGAGACCTTAACCAAGGAGAATGGGAAGCGTTTTTGGACATTTTTAGTGAGCTTTTGCATGGTGTTTTTGAGGAAAAGAAGGTGCAAAAGCATAAGTTGGAACATCATGGAAGTTACCGAACCTTAGGAAGATAGGTAACCAAAGCAAGAGATGAATCACTGCCGCTTGTTATTGTACATTAAAGTCAACATATATTTTTAGTATAGATTGTAGATACAAGTCCCATATATATATATATATATGACAAGGATGGAATAGCGATTGGTTAGGTGGTAATGCCATCCATTCCATTCCGCAACTTCATTTTTTCTTCTTTACCCCTCTTTGTCAAAATAGAGTTGTACCCCCTATCTGAGTGGGTTTTCACCTGTGATCATGTAATTATTTTTTGTATTTTTTTCTTACTTTGCTGATTCAAATTGTAATGGGAAGCATTGATTTCATTAATTCTTCCCTATATATCTATATATATAGATACATATATACTGGTTAATGTTGCTTGTGTGCACTGTTCTTATGTACATGCATGTTACAACACGTCTACATTGAGATAGAAAACATAATTGATCACTTGAAATTGGATTTTTTTTTTTCAGGATGTATATATACATCCTTGAGAAAGAGATACGAAAAGAGGAGAGGGAAAATAATAAATGTCATAGCAGTATAAGAAAAGAAGAAAAGTAACGTATATAAGGTATAAGTTTAATTACACACTTAGCAATTTACAAAAGACAGTGAATTATTTTTCCTTCCACCAATATGAGTTTTAGGAACTATGCAAACATATATATACTTATAACCAGGTAGAAAAAAGAAACCTTATACGGACAACACCATTTGTATCACATTTTACACTCCTAATTAAACATGTCTTAACATATAAAATATTCTAACAAAATCCAAAATGTCTTAACAAACCCTTCACATTATCATCTCCGTGTGTTCTTACCCCCTACTATTGTCATACTATTACCCTGTAATAATAATTGGTAAGTTGGGTGTTAGAGTGTTTACAAGTGGTCATTATCATCTTTCTCCCTTTGTTTATGATGTCTCTAGTCTATAGTACATTATTGGTCTTCCGATTCACCTAAGATTCACCATTTGAACATAATGTAATTATCACATTACATAATTGTAATAAGTGGCATAAATAAGTGTACTTAAATCATACTAAATGTTTTCTATTTCACTTTGGTTTACAATATTTAGATTCCATTTTAATATGCAAAACATTTGACCAACTTATTTTCTTAACATTTAACCATACAAAATCAACTTGTAAGATGAGTATTGTCCCAATTTATATACTCTTTAATTATTTTATTTCTAACCGATGTGAGACTTGAGGAAAATTTTTTAATTCTTAAACTTATAAATATATATATATATAT